AAAATGAGAAATTAGAGACATTTATAGCTAAATGGATGCACATTGAGGTGATACTCTTAAGTGAAATAAACAGGACACACATGTGTAAATACTGAATAGTTTATCTATTGTGAGAAACTGAAAATGTAAGGACTAAAAGGTATAACATAATGTGAAATAGGAAGAAAAGGGGCAAAGGGGAAGTGGGAGGGGTAGGGGAAAGGAAAGAGGGGAATGAAATCAATATGAGAAAATGAAAAATGGAAACAAAATCTATTATCTCCTTGATCTTAAGGAAAACACTAACACTGAATTCACTGGTTATGATCTTAGGTACTTTAATCAGACTTTGTGGCTTAACGGTTTGGGGAATTTCTTAGCCCCGTTCAGAAAGCAGCTTTTGGCAGTGTGAATTTTTGAACTCCAGCCAGGCAAGGGAGAAATAAACAAAAGAATGGATTAAGGTTTTCTAAAAAAAGGATAATCCATTTTATTCTTCTGTTTTATATTGTCTTTTTTTTTTTTTTTTCGGTACCAGGGATCAAACTCAGGACCTTGGTTTATGAGCCAGGCACGGTGCCACTGAGCTAAATCACTGGCTGTTTTCTATTGTCTTTGATGAGAAACCTGCAATCCAGTGATACATTATCCTTTCCCTTATATAACATAATGCATGATTCCTACATAATCTGTCACTTGTCTAGAAATTTTGGTTATGATTTTTCTTTGTCTTGAATTTCTTTGTATTTAGGTTGTTTAGAATTTCATTTCAAATTCATTTTTGGATACCATTTGTAAATTTGTACATCTCTAAGTGAAGAATTGGGAATTTTTTAGAATTATATTTAAAATCACTGATGACCCCAGTGAGTAATTAGTACTTTTCTAAGGAACATTTAACTTTATTGAGTTATTTAAGAGTTTTATGCATCAGTGTGGTTATATATGTCTTCCATGGAAAGAAGGTATTCCATTTCCCCACATACATCTAACTTAAAAAAAGCTTTTACTGGCACATAGTAAATCTGTTTATGGGGTACAGCATATTTCATACATGTATACAGTGTTTACTGGTCAGAGCAGCATAATTGTTACATTGTCACGTCAAACACTGGCCAATCTCTGTGTGGGAAACATTCGGCATTCTGTTAGCTATTTTGTGGTATACAATCAAACGTCAGCCATAGTTGCCCTGCCATGTGGTGGAACGTGAACAGTTATTCCTTCTAGCCACCTCCTTCTCTGTATGCATTAACCACCCTCTTCCAATCCAGCCCTCTTTCTCCTGGCTTCTGCTGAGTACTATTCAATTTTCTACTTTTATAAGATCCACTTTTTTAGTTTCCACATTATGTTAGCTTTTCATCACTGTAACCAAAAGCCTACGAAAAACAACTTCAAAGAAGAAAGGTTTCTTTTGGCTCCATTTCAGAGGTTTCAGCATGGTCACTTGGCTGTGTGACTGGTAGGCCCTGGTGAGGTCAGGCATCACGGTGGAGGGGAGCTGCTCACTTCATGGTAGCCAGGGGGCAGACAGCAAGAGATCCAGAGAGAAGGGCCTGGGCCAGGGCAGGGCCGGGCTGTGCCTCGGTGCTCCTATCCTCCCACTGGGCCACACCCTGTGCTTCCCTCACCTTCCAGCAGTGCCATCATGGGAATGAGCACCAGTGTTAGCCATGGCAAAGGGGGAGCCCTCACACTCTAGTCACTTCCTAAGTCCCAGCGCTTTCTGGGGCCATGTTACAGAGCGGGGGCGTGTATGTGCTTTTGTGCTTCATTTATATGGATATTGACCTTCATTTTCAAATCAAAGTGTTTTTGGTTTGCATAGTTTACTGGTACAAATCATTTTAATTCTTCAAAAGCATACTAAAATGAGAGAATTGTTTTTAATCTGTGTTTAGGTTGAAACTCATGGTGTCAACTCTTTGTTTAAATATGGAGAGTAGTTTTCCAATTACAGCTTAAACTTAGTTTTAAGGGAAGACTTTGGTACTGACTATCAACTATTTTTGCTTTTAAATTTATTAAAGACTTAACATAATGAAACTTCAATGGCAGATGCTTTATTGTCAGATTTTTTTTTTTTAGGCCTAATCAACCCCGAATAACCAAAGATGTAATTTGTTTTCATGCTGAAGATTTCTTAGAAATAGTTCAACGAATGCAGTTGGATTTGCATGAACCTCCACTGTCCCAGGTATAGTTTAAATAGTTATTGTCTTTAGTTTAGATGTTATTATGAAAAATACTTACCTGAATTCCTGTTTCTTTGTTCAGTGTGTCCAGTGGGTTGATGATGCAAAGCTTAATCAACTGAGGAGGGAAGGCATCCGCTATGCCAGGATTCAGCTGTATGATAATGACATTTACTTTATTCCAAGGAATGTTGTTCACCAGTTCAAGACAGTTTCCGCTGTATGCAGTTTAGCATGGCATGTCCGACTCAGATTGTATCACTCAGAGGAGGACGTTAGTCAGAGCACAGCTACCCATGAAACAGGCACATCACCGGATTCCACGTCGGTAGTTCCTTTACCTCACACGGACAGCGTGATATGTGCTGTAAGGAAAACCTCCTTGGATTCTGTGTCTTCAGACAAACTTCATTCTAAATATGAATTAGAGCAGATTAAACATGAACCTAATGCATCTATAAGGATCAAGGAAGAACCTGTGAATATTAATATTTCTGAAAAGACTAGAGCACCGACTAATATGGATGGGAAGAATATTAGAGCAAAATTGGATCATGTTCAGTTTACAGAATTCAAGATCGACATGGATTCTAACTTTGGAAATAGCAACAAAGAACTAAAGGAAGAATTGAGTCCTGGGAGTCTCATAAGTCTAGTTGATACAAGGCAGCATAGTTCAGCACACTCAAATCAAGACAGAAATGATGATGACATTTTGTGCTAAATTTGTACAGAGCATTTAAAATTCTTTTTTTTAAAAACTAATAATGTAATAAAGATTCATGAATTCTGAAAGCAAGCAAAGGACTTGCTCTCAAGTCTGTTACAAAATATAGATGATGTTAGCTTTGTAACATTCCTCAGTGCCTGTCCATGACTGTGAAGTATCAAGTACTTAGGGCCAGACGCACTGTAAACATTGCAGGTTTAAACAGAAAGGAGTCTTCAAAAAAATCATTTGATTTGGAGTAGGTTTTAGAATCAAGCTGACATTAACACACACACACATACACACACATATATATATTTTGTAATATGAGCCAGAACTTTTTCACAATTTAAGGCTTTTCCATAGAGCTTATTTATACCATTTTTTTCATTTTAAATGTGTCAGCACTGTAGTGTAAATAGCTTTAAAAAATCTTTTTAGTGTGATTTATATTGAAATGTGAGCCACTTAATAAAGGTTCATCATAATAAATATGTTTTCTGTTCAGTCTGCAAAGACAAACTGACAATTCAGTTAAATCATTTGTTTGGTACATTGTGTTTCTCTATGCTAGTATGTCTATTTAGAGTGGTAAGGAGTGCAAATGTACGTATTCAAGTCTAGTAAATAAATTCTCCACACTGTGCAAGCATTTTTAAAACCAAGATTCAGGGCTGGGGATTTAGCTCAGTGGTTTCGCTACCTGCTGCGCAAGTACAAGGACCTGGGTTCGATCCCCAGTACCAAAAAAAAAAACAAACCAAGATTCAGTTATGAAAGTGTGTGTGTGTGTGTGTGAATGTATATATGTGTATCCTATTTTGCACAATTTCTTAAATTGCTGAATAAGATGAATATGTGAAACTTCTTAGCCCTACTTCCTGGAATACATTTTAAAATATTTATATTCAACCTTAAGAAAGCAGTTTAGGTAACAAAAATTTTAGAAAGTTGGGAGAAATAAGATATGTTAATATCTAATCCTTCTAACTAATGAAGATATGTTGCTAAGATTATTTACCCATAACAAATTTTCCTTGTTGTGTATGGAACCAGTAGAAAGTTTTCTTACTAATAAGCACCTGTGCTATACTTGATTATAGCTGAGTAAGAAATCTTTAGTTATAGAAAATTTAATTGTAAACAATTAAAATCCTCTTTAACATTTTTCTTGTAGAATGGGAAAAATATGGCAAAAATCAAAACCATACAATAAAGGCAATGACTTGATTGCCATATACAGAGAGATAACTAACAAAATACTGTGTTACCTCATCTTTCTCAGGATTCCCTCCCTACCCTAGCAAGGGAAACAACTGGGTATACTTCCTCTATAACGAAGCTCTGGAAAATAAATGTCATAGGAAACAGAATTGCCAGTGCCTAATTAAAGACGAGTAAAACATATTTCTTTAATGATGAGGTCAGCACTATTTCAGACTGCTTCCACTTCTGTAATGAAAGTCAAACAAGTCTTTGATGTATGCACAGATGTAAGGAACTCTGCTCATTGCAAACCTATTCCTCGGTTCTTCTATTATTCCTACTTTGGTTAATAACTTAGTTGCGGTTCTTTGTGCTACATTTCCGTGTTTTCTGTTCTGGCCACATTTGTGGTACCCATCAAAACTCATTCTAGTTAGAAAGAAGCCCTTTAGAAAGATGCACTTCACCAGAACAAATGAAAATTGACTATCAATGATGTCCGTTTTGGCCCCCATTTTAATAAAAAGGGGCAGATACTATACTATAGGAAATCAATGTTTACAGCATGGGAAGTCTCATGGGATAGGGAAGGTCTAAATCATGATAATGTAAATAGGGGTTTTGTTATATATGTCACTGTGTTATGCTCCTACCTATTTGATCTGCTTTGTTAAATTTAGGGACTTTTATATTCTTTGGGAAATAAAGTTCTCAATAAATCAGAATTGAAAAATAGGAAGGGATTGCTTAAAATATTTTTGATCTTTTAAAATTGAAAAGTGATATATTTAAGAAGGTATGTTTTATTTCCAGTTTTCCAGAAGCATATACATAAATGCACTGAGGTCACACTGTAAGATTTCTTTAGGGTAACTGTCTGAAATATATGAGCCTTAAGCATTCAACTAGAAGGAATGCATGTTGAAAACAGCTACAGTGGTTGCTTTTAGGTATACTTTCTTATATAACCTATAGTTGAACTAATGAAAATTTGTTTTCTGAAATGCTTAAATCTCTGTGGAAGTGTTTTACCTAAATCACGGGTTAACAGTAAATTAGTTCACCTTCAATAAAGCTTACGTTCCTTGTCTTATGGATAGTGTATAATTTTTAAATCCTCTTTAGGTCATTCTGAGAACTTGTTGACTGCCTTTGTCACACATAAATTTCTATTTTAATATTGCATCGTATTAATGGTTTCTTAGTACATTCCAGTTCTTTATCTGAATAGAAGATTTTTGCTTTTATTTCTAATATCTTGTACCAGAACAATAAATCACTTAAGATATAGTTTCTATATGGTCATATGGTGTATAGAATAAATTGTTATATAAATTATTAAATGGATATATAGACCTTTACATAAAAACTTTAGTACCTCAGTGGTACGTTATAGCAATTATGTTTTTCCTTTTGTTTCTTTTCAGTTTTTTGTTTTGATTTGGTTTGGTTTTTTGAGACAGGGTCTTGCTATGTAGTTCAGGCTGTCCTTGAACGCACTATGTAGCTCAGGCTGGCCTTGAACTCACAGCAATCCTCCTGCCTCAGCCTCCCGAGTGCCGGGATTCTGGCATGTGCTACCATACCTGGCACCTGTTTTTATTTTTACCCTGTTAAGTTATCTAAGTAATATATATTCTATACTCAGGTTAGCTGGTTAGCTGGTGAAAGAATTAAGCATTTGTGGTATTTAGTTGCAAACTTTACTAAAGCCATATATTCATTACCTTGTCACCAAGACTGTTGACCTTAAATAAAGATGAGGTTGATGTAGCACAACTCTGTGTGTGTATGTGGATGCATGTATGCATTTCTGTGGCTGTCACTTCGTCTCCATTTATGAGGGTGTCACTGACAGTAGGAAAACATTTCTTTTTTAGATTATGTCTCTAAGGTATTTCATTAATGTTCCTGAGTATAAAAGAGGTTTTCCCTAAATACTTACGGCAGGGGAGATTTTTATACATAATAAGCACTGCTTTATTCCCTCTAGTTACATCTTTTGAGCAAATTTACTGTCGTGTAAAGTACTTGTCTCAAAATTCATTTTGCATTTAGAGGTGCAAGGTTTGTTTTTGGAGTTTGAAAGGTAGTTTCCTTGTCTTGCACCTTTCAATAAATACGAAGATTGATAACCACAATCTTTTTACCTTTGTAATTATTTCCTTAAATTTGATATTTTATTTTAATCTTGGTATTTAAAACATTTCTTAGGTTTCTGTCTTCAACAAACCATAAAATCTTGGAACTGATTCCAACCCAAAGACATTTTTTTCCTTTTAAAAACTAATAATGAAAAATTGACTTAGGCCAGTGGGCAGACGAGTACAGAGGGTTACTGAAGGTCCAAAGTTAGGTATGGGTGCTGGGACTGGCGCGGTGGCTACCCCCGCGTACCCTGCTTGTGGCTTGTTCTGTCTCAGGAGAACAGAAGTGTCATTCTTTTCAAGATGTTAAAAAGTGACACGATTGGTTTCAGATCTTCAGTGGTAGAAGAGCTCTTTTGTTCTCACCTAAGCAGAACTGCCTTGATATGTGAACACCTTGCCTGGCTTTAGGATGCAGTGCTTATGTGGGGCAAGAATTGTCTGCTGTGTTTGGCACTGGCAGGACGTTTCAGATACTTCAGCCCACAGCTAAAGAGCTTCACCTCTCCCGGCTTTGCTGTTTGGTTCTCTCTGTAACCCATGGACTGAGGATGGAAATGACTGCATTTTTTGTAAAGTGAACAGACACTAAGAACAGTTGTCTTTTCCTGGTAAATGAAGAGACACACATACTCTTTCTACTGGGGGAGCAAGGGAAGCATCTTGCATCTTCCAACTCTTCCTGGACTTCAGAGACAATCAGGGAATGTGAATAAGCTGAGAACAAAATACAGGCAAGCAGAATTTATGTAAACTAGAATTGAAAAGTAAAATGTATTTCCTGTATGTTTCATTACTGTGATCTGCCTATTAAGAACTGCACTGTTAAAATATGAGAGCTCTGGATCCTTCTATACCCTTTGAAACTTAGAATTTATGCATCTATGTTGTTAAAATGTTAAAGGCCGCGCGTGGTGGTGCATGCCAGTAATCCTAGCACTTGGAAGGCTGAGGCAGGAAGATTTCTTCGAGTTTGAGGCTGGCCTGGGCTACATGGTTCAAGGCCAGTCTGAACTGCACAGTGAGACCTGTCTCAAAAAACCAAAAATAAATAAATAAAAGAGTACTATCCTATAAAGTTCACTACTGTGGTACTATTTAAGATCATAACGACACAGAAGCAAGCCCAGAGTCACAAATAATTTGCATAATAGTGATGAAAATGTATTTGGCAGTTTGACTTCCATTCCTTGAGAAAATTTTCTTTTAATTTTTTATTACTCTCTTGAAGCCAGATTTTTACATGAATAATTTGTTATAATAATATGTATTATATAGTAATTATATAATAATAATAATAACAACAATAATACAATGTTTTTTGGTAATGTCCTAGCTCTCTTCTTCAACTCAGAGATCTTTGGTGGTGCCTCATCTCTCGCAGCGAGCTGAGGTGGTTTTCTCGTCTGTCAGCTTTCCGGCGGATCAGTCCGCAGAACCTCTGCATGCTTCCCTCTGACCCTGCGGCACTTAGCAGTCTCCACTCAGTAGCACTCTGGCTGGTGTGTTTTGTGTTTTGTTTCTTTGGAAGGCTTTTTTCTTTTGTCCTTTCCTTCTGGCCTTTCTGTTTTTGTGGTGCTGGAGATGGAGCCCAGGGCCTTTTCCACTGAGCTACATCTAGCTCTTGGAACTCACAACCCTCCTCCCTCAGCCTTCCAGCATGCTGAATGACAAGCACGTACCACAGCATCCAGCTAGGGTTAATCTTTCTTGGATACGATTGTTACCTGTTTTACAAAAAATTCCATAGTGGCTCCTTTCCTAAAGAACAAAGGCCAAATGCCTACTACAGCACTGAAAAGCCTTCACCATAAGTCTTCTTTTTCAGACTCTTGTACCGCAAGGCTTCATTTCATGTGTCCAGTTTTCAGCTTTGCCAGATGACAGTTTACAGTCATATGTACGGGTATCCCCTGGGGAACCCCTTTGCATACTTAAGTCAGTGGGTGTTTAAGTCTTATGTGAAATGGCACAGCATTTGCATATAACCTATGTGCATCCTGCGTGCACTTTAAATCGGCACTAGATTACTTGTAATATCTATCATGATGTAAATCATTCTGTCTTGTTTAGGGAATAATGACAAAAAAGTTCTCTATGTGGTTCAGTATTTCTCTGAATATTTTCAGTCTGTAGTTAGCTGTATCTGTAGACGAACCTGTGGATATGGAGGGCCATCTGTACATTCATTCCTCCACGTACTTCGCAAATTCTTTGTCTTTGCTGGGGAAATACATGGGATACACACAGCGAAGTCGTGTCTCTTCCATGCCCTACTTACACCATGTGTCTTGCCTTTACTGATGCCATCCCAGCTGTTCCTGGACCCAGCAGCAGTTGGGACCAAACTCTTTGCCCCTTGGCCCTTTGCTTACCTGGTTTCACATTCGTGACAAGTCCCTGTTGGAGTCCAGCTAAACCATGAGCCACAAGTTAGCAATGTTCTTTATCACTTTTCACTAATTCATAGGATACTTGATGTTCAGTAAATATTTAAAGGAACAAAAGTAACAGGGATGGAAAGATAAACTATGTAGCCTTCTATGACTTTAAAAAGCCAGTCCTAGATTTTATAATGTAATTCTAGAATTGCAACAGAAAGGTGGAGAAACTTAGACCAGCAGGCCCTTTCATAAAGAAACCAAGTTTCTGTCTTGTAAGGATAAACTAAGGAGGTAGGGCCGGGGATTTAGCTCAGTGGTCCCGCTGCCTGCCGAAGCACAAGGACCTGAGTTCCATCCTTGGTACCAAAAAAAAAAAAAAAGGTAGCTGTTAAGAGATCCAGGAGCAGTGCACATTTGGAAAGAGGAGGTAGTGTATAAACAATTAAACCTATAAAACCCAGCATTTTTTGCCTTTGACTAGCTTTTCTGGAGAAACAGGAATTACAAATTAAGTTTTAACAATGCCCTACATGATTAAAATGGCAAATACTGTGTAAATAGTATCTTTATAGTTCGTAGTCTAAGGCAGAATTTAAATGTTTGTCTTAATTGGTAAAGTCTGATTTTCAGACAGCTTGTTTAAGCTTAAGCTTGTTCTGTACAATTTTGTGCAGGTTTCCTGCTGATATTCCAAAATTGGAAATACTGAAGTACAATGATAACATATACTAGCTTTTTCAGCCTATATTGTTGGAAGAGTGGGACAAGGACATAGATAGCACATTTTCAGACAATCTCATGGTCACTTCTTTGGCAGACTGCTCTGGAGTGCTGTGGTTGTTTAATACAGTGTATCAGTAATACACAACCTTGAGAAAATTACTTCACTGAGTCTGTTTTTTTCATCTGTAAATGGGAAGGTCATACCTATTCTGTTAATTGGTGGTGAAAAGTGAATGTCAGAACAAGCGGAATACTTAGCACCTTGCTTGGCTTATTATAGACACATTACAAACAGTTGCTTCTGCTCCTGGAATTAACAGTCAAAAGAATAGTTGGCAGAGCTGTGTGCTAGGTCACTCTAATCATTTCACACTTTCCTCACTAATTAGTCTCCTTGTGTATTCTTCACTTCAATTCTGGACAGAAGATAGATATGGGAAGGAGAAAAAGCTTGATGAGGGGTCAAGGCAAGGTATGGTGGACATCCGAAAAATCTTTTACTAGTTTGGCCAGGGTTGGCAGTTCAACGTCATGTCTATCCTGCCTATCCTGATATAAGTGCACTACGGATTATGGCTGTAGTTATAAATGATAGTACATAGTGCTATCTGATACCTGATGGAATAGTTCTATGATTGGATGACTTGAATACAGGGCAAACAAAATGAGAGTAAAACGTCCCTTGTAAAAACTGGACTAGAACTCACTATAGCCCACTATAGAACTCACTATTGGCCTAGAACTTGGAGTAGTCCTGCCTCAGCCTCCCGAGTGCTGGGAGTACAGCCAGGCGCCACCATGCCTGGCAACCCCGTGTCATCTTTATCTAGCAGTTGATAATGAGCATCTCACACTGATGTATTTTTTTCCCATCTTCTGTGGGAAACCAATTTGTAGAAATCACATTTGGAGTCAAATTCTTTCATTTATAGAGACCATGAGCTAATTTTATTTCATTTACCTGGGCTTTAGTTTCTCATTATAAGAAGAAGGAATACCTCCCCCTTGATCTAAACTCTAACCCCTGTGTACCCCCGGTGGTTTTGTCATGGAGCATAAGCACACCAATAATATTTTGCATTCAGAGTGAGTCATGTTTACTCTGCGAACATAACCAACATTAAAGGAAACTCCTTTAGTAGTTGGCACCTGTTTCTCAATACAGTGCTAAAAGCACTCTGATCATTTTCCTCTCAATACAGAGAAACTGTTGCTTTCTTGCTGACTCAGGTGCTTAGACACACCTGTCCCTGTGTGAGGACTGTTTTCTGCTCCAGCCACCGCTTCTGCCCAGTTGTCAGCATCAGTTCCTCCTGTCTGCTGCACCATGAAGAAGCTAACTGGGAAATGGACCAAATTTATAAAGTTAACAACTGTTAAAGTTACAGTGAGCTGTATCCCTAGGACAGTTCTCTAGCTCTTGAAGCCTTGTTTATGTATTTTTCTTGGTGCTTGAAGACTTTCCATTTTCAAGTGGGTCTGTGTTCACATTTCCTATAGATTCAGCTGAGGCCGCCGGATCTCACCTTTATGTTCAGGAGATGTTCCTCAGTTGTGGATGCTTTGAACATCTTTCTTCTTTTCATATTTTCAAGTATTACAAACAGTTATTTGGTTCACATGTTGTTTTTACTCAGAAATTATAACAAATCTTTGGTCCAAACCAGAGAAGTTTTATGTCCCTAAATTATTACCCCAAAAGTAATGCCCTCAGGAAAGTTTTGTAGATTTTTTTTTCTTTTGGTACTGGGGATCGAACTCAGGACCTTGTGCTTGTGAGGCAGGTGTTGGCACCACTGAGCTAAATCCTTGACCCAAGGAAGAAGTTTTGATTCTTAAGTTTCTTTCTTGACAGCACAGTGTGTTTATCTTCAAACCCCATTAGTAAATTTCTCTGTACCATAAAGGAAGCATCCTCTAACTAAAACCAAGGGTAGAAAGGCATTTTCCTGCAATACTGATTGTTTATGTACTGTTTGTCTTCTCTACTTATAAGCATAATTCTGCCTGTGATTTTTTTTATATTTAAACATACTCTGAGGACTGGGGCGGACATCAGTGAGACCTGACCACGAGGCTCTAAGTGCTGATGCCAAATGAAGAGTTCTACTTCCTGCAAGCTCTTCACATGCTACTAAAATTGATCCTCATGTGTAAACAGGTCGGTTATTGTGTTGCCTTCTACGTGTCATTCTTACCATTTTGTCTTTGTTGGGAGAACTAAAGGAGGAGGAGACCTGCTTTGTCTTCTTAGGATCTCTTACGAGATTTTTGCTTTTGCTTTTCTGACCTGAGGGGTCGGCAAACTCCTGCCCACAGGCCTTGTCTAGCCTGCCACCTGCTTCTGTATGGCCTGTAAGGCAAGAAGTTATTATAATTTTATTTTATTTTATTTTTTTGGTACCGGAGATCAAACTCGGGACCTTGCGCTTGTGAGGCAGGCGCTGGAACCACTGAGCTAAATCCCTGGCCCAGTTATTATAATTTTAAATGGTTGAAACAAAAATCGAAAGAGTTATCGTGTGAAGAGATGAAATTTCAATTTCACGGCCATAGTTTTATTGGAACACAGCCAGAGTCTGTGGCTGCTTTCTCTGCCACAAGGGCTGAGTTGAATATTGCCATGGAAACCTAATGTCCCGGAGTCCCTGACAGAAACGCCTTGCTGACTCGTCCTGATTGTTTACATGCGGTGTTGTTACCCCTTTTCATTTCCCTGTGAGGGCTTATCATTAGATAATACTTGCATGAATACTTTTACCTGAACTACACAAGATGAAAGGTTTATTTTGAATTTAGTTAATATATTCCACAGACCAAATAGTTTGGGTCTTTCCACTAAATCAGGAATATCTGTTCACACCTAAAACAGTTCCAGATAGTAATTATTCTGAATCCTCTTTTTAGATACCCAAAATATAATTTTAATTATAAGACAGGGAAATGTCTCCAATTGATTTTTATTTATTTAGCTTACTTCTTAGTTTCAAAAGCCAAACAAGAATTTAATTTGTGGTGCTTAAAACTTAAGTGTTTGTAAGGAAGAAAGAGTCCATAATTCTATATTAAAATAATCTGTGTTAGCAGCCAGAAATTGAGATCGTGTTAGACCTTTTAAAAACAGAACAAAGTGCCACTGTAGATTTCAACAGAGCTGAAAGTGAAGGCTGTACAAGGCAAGAACAATCACCCCACGTTAGTTACAATCCCCTTTCAGAGGGGCCGGGGATTTAGCTCAGTGGTTCTGCAGCCTGCCTTGCAAGCGCAAGGACCTGAGTTCAATCCCCGGTACCAAAAAAAAAAATTGCATTGGCCTGGGGATTTAGCGCAGTGGTTCCAGCGACTGCCTTGCAAGTGCAAGGTCCCGAGTTTGATCCCTGGTACCAAAAAAAAAAAAGAAAACAATCCCCTTCCAGGACTTTGTAAGCACTGCCCTCTGCTTCCCTGGGGTTGGTCAGGCACCTCACTTCCCACTTCACTAGGGTGCTGGGATTTCTCAAAGCAGGACACCCTGAGTGGATGGGTGGCAACCCTCTGTGGCCCTAGGTCAACAGGCACGAGGGGGGTGTTCTGGGGGAGGGGACGAAGGCCTGTTGGAGTGGGCAAGCTTCTGCACTAACATGCCACCTCCAAGTCATCTGTCCCACGCACAAAGTAGAGATGACAGTGAGCTTAGCACACGTAGAAATCTGTCAAACTCAGGCTCTTTCTGAATGTAAACATGTGGCATTCCATTACTCCAGTAAGTTTTTCCCTTCATAATTTATAAGCATAAGTAGCCATTTACTTTGGTCATTAACAGCCATGAAAAATTGAACTTCTATCCAAATATGTAGATTAAAGGCTTTGTTTTTATTTTTATGAGACAAGGTCTTGCTATGTAGTCCATGCTAGCCTCAAATTTGCTGAGATCCTCATGCCTCAGCCTCCCAAGTGCTAGGAGGACAAGTGTTTGAAACCACACTCAGCTAGTTTAAAGGCTTTGTATTTATTTTATTATTATTTTTTGGTATGGGGGATCGAACTCAGGACCTTGCGCTTAGCAAGGCAGGTGCAGTGCCACTGAGCTAAATCCTGGCCCTGGTATTTAAATATTGAGCACATACAGGGGGAAGGAGTGGAGGGGGATCTAAAAAGAATTAAGATGTGTTACATACATGTACTGACTCCTCACAATGAATATACTCACTATATACTACAAACATGTACTAAAAAGATAAAAATTAAAACAGATTATTCAAGAGTCATGTGGAAAAATAAGGTCAAAAACAAACTTTATTTACATAGAGATAATAAGAATATCAATAAGTCAAATACTGAATACTTCAGCTTTGGGTTGATTAGAAGGCCATGATTCACCAATCGTATTTCACGGAAGCAGAACGCTGCATCTGGTATCCCCTCAGTTCTCAGGCCTTCCTGCAGCTTCCCTGGAAGGTGCAGAACACTCTATCGCTTGATGAAGAGCGGCAGACATGAAATGCTGTGCTGTACCAAGAAGTCAGTCTCTTACAAAAAAGACGTTATACCCGAGTTCTGTGAGCGCCCCTGCCAGTAAGGCCCACAAAGGGATGAAGACGTAGGACAGATGCATGGTTGTAAACTGTTCCAGTTTTGCACAGAGTGCCAGGCAGAAGGCTAACTTAAGTAACATTGCGACGAGGTACCAGGCTTTTTTCTTAATGTTGTGTGATCCATGCCGAGGGTCGAAGCCAGACTTACATCGCCCGGCCATTTTCACGATGAGCATGACGAGGAGGACGGTGTCGAATATCCAGATGGGAATGAATATGAGGAACCAGTTCCACGGCGCCTTCTCGTCCAGTTTCAACACCAGCATTATCAAGAAGAGCAGTGTGAAGAGCCAGGTGAGCAGCACTCTCTGGGCCAGGGACATTCTCATTTAAACAACCGAGAGAGACGCTGCGCAGGGGCCGGAAACTCGAAGGAAGTATACCCTGGGAGGAGGAAAAGTCAAGATTGTTTGGGCACCAGAGAAAAATTACTGTCAGTCCTAGTGAACAAAGTCGGCTCCTTTCTAATTTTAAAATCCTATCGTTCTTCCTTTAAAAACTTCTAAAACCTGGAGCAATGACTGCCAATTAGAGCCATCATTTCTCTTTTTTTTGGCACTGGGGATCAAACTTGGGGCCTTGTGCTTGTGAGGCAGGCAGCAGAACCACTGAGCTAAATCACAGGCCCTACAGCCATCATTTCTTTTTTTTCTGTACCGGGGATTAAACTCGGGTCCTTGCACTTACGCAGCAGACATCGAAACCACTGAGCTAAATCCCGGGCCCGAGCCATCATTTCTTACAGCCATGGCCAAAGGTAAGCCCTAGGCAGAGGTCTCGAGGACAGTCTGTCCTTTTCAGTGTTACCACCAAGACCTTATTCCGTTCCTCAGAGATGTTCTCAACCTCCCCATACATTCATAAAACTTCAGCTTTCCATTCAATTTCAAGGAGTACTAAGATAAAGTGTTTGAAATCAAAGTGGTAAAAGGGGAGGATGTAGTATCTAGCTGGGAAGAGGTTTTCTGAGACAGGGTCTTACTATGTAGTTCAGACTGGCCTTGAACTCACTATGTAGCCTAGGCTGGCATCAAACTCACGCTGATCTTCTTGCCTCAGCCTCCCAAGTGCTGGGATCACAGGTGTGTGCCACCATGTCTGGTGACAAGAGGGTTTTATAAGGTGGAAATGGTTAGTAAAAACTACAAGAACAGGTCCCAAGTTAGATTCCCGGTACCAAAAAAAAAAAAAAATGCAAGAACGTCAAGCAATCATAAAGCAGAATTAAGATTATATGAAGAGGTCACTGGGCTAATTAATATCTATTACATATTTGTTTAGTTTCTGGATCTTAAATTTGTAGAGTCTCAGGTATTTTCTTGTTAAAATAGATCACTTAAACTTGGTATATTTTGTAAGTATCTAATGCTAAATTATTCAGTAATAAGGGTATTACTCACTGTTCTCTCACAGACCTATACTTTTGCTTTGCAGTAAAAGCACACAATTTACTATTGGTTTAGGATATGTAGTAATATTTGGAAGCCCTCATTCCTTTCCAGAGCATCTATTTCAGTTTTTTTCAGTACAAAAATCATTAAGCTAATTCTCAAAAACTTGGCATTCTGATTGGGAATCCATTAACTTACAACTTAGCGAACATATATATTAACATTTATTATATTTAATCTTGACACACACGCTTACAGTACAGTACCCCGCTTAGGTTTTTCAGACCAGTCCTGTGACCACTGGAATAAAGGTAGGAAGAATGCCAGACTGCCCGAGGTTGGGAGAGGAGTTAACAAGATAAGAAAATGCAAATAGCTGAGAACACTTTATTCCCTTGAGCTATTTGGAGAGGAGAAGATGACAGATAAGACACGTGAGACTGAGAAAGGGACCCGAAGAAATTTTTAGGAAAGGAGGAATCTAAGTACAATATGATCAAGCTGGGAGAATATGCCCCCGGGGAAATGACAGACTGGAGAAGAAAAAACACTTGCTGGAAAGAGAAAGATAAGAAGGTGGTAAGGAGGGATGACTGGAGAAAGGAGAAAAAATAGAAACAGGCAAGAAACAAGGAAAGGCTAAAGAACCTGGCGAGAAGGACCACATAGCCTAGATCAGTGTGCTCCTATTTCAGGACTCTGAGAGTTTCCGCACGTCTCTGTTCGGTCTCCAGAGTGAAGGTGCGAGCGCCCTAACCCCCCTTTCCCTTGGCCGGCAGCCGCCTCACACTGCCGCGCTTCGACTCCGGGGAAGGCACCTTCTTGGTTGCTCTCCTCGGTTTCCCGCGGCTGCCGAGTACCAGGATGCGAGGAGAGACAGACTTGGGCGCTGACTGTTAACTAAATGAAGTCGCCCAGCTCTGACCTCCAATCTGGCCATTCTCGAGTCCCTCCAGGAAAAGGTTTAGACAGTGCACAGACTTAAACATAGCTGTCAAGGGATGACACGAGCTTCGTTTTCTTTCTCACGAAGGGTTTTCTCACTGGCAAGGTGGCTGCACTAACTGCAGGTTTAGGACAGGAGGCGAAAGGATGTAAAGGACATGAACTTCCTGTGGCCATAAGCTTTATAATGTGGGCTGCAACAAATTCCGTGCGCCTGCGAGAAGCGCCTCTCCACCGGGGAGCCCCCTGCTCAGACGGAAACGACGCCGGAAAGACTGCTGAGCTAAATGCGGGCACACGGCTCTTTGACTGCATTCTAGCCTCGCCAATTTAACAAGCCGTATCTGGTTCCCACTGACATTCCCTTCTCCTTAAGGGAAGGACACACAGGCACCCGAAACTGCTCACAGTTCCCTCCCGGAGGACCCGGCTTGACAGTCAACGCTCCCTCCCACAGCCCCACTGCAGCCCCGCGCCTCCGGCAGCACGCCGGCCCCTTCCGGCGGACTCGCTCCTCCCAGGCAGCTCGGCCCGAGATGCCCGCGAGTCCGTCCTCCCAGAGCCTTTCGGCAGACGCCGGCCGGCCAGCTGCACACTCCAGAGGGCCCGCGTCCCGCTCCCAGCGTGGCCGGGCTCGGCCTACTGGAGCCCGCTTCGGGACGCCGCCTCCCCGCAGGCCGACGTCTGCGGGCCAGAGCTCCCCGCTCCCGGCACAGCTCCAGGCGCCCGCATTCCGGCCCGGCAGGTGCGCCGGGGCGGGGCCTGCCGCGCAGCCCGGGGCAGAGGCCCGCGCCGCGACTCACCTGGCAGCGCCGCCGGTCGGAGAGCGGGGAGGCCGCCAAGAGGAGGGAGTTCGCCAGTTTGGACCCTTGTCCGCCACACTCTTCCCCCATTCAATCTGGAGCCCGTCACATGATAATTAGGAACAAAATTCAATTCCCCCTCTCCAATCGGCCGCGGTAGACGGTCTCGCAGCCACACTCCGGGGCCACGCCCACATCCGGGGCTCATCGCTCCGCTCCTGGGCCTACTCTATTGGAGGAGAGGACGCCAATCTGAGTTCCGGGGCTTCTTTCCCCGCGATGATTGGACCGTTTGGCCGCCAGTTCAAACCAACTGACCTTTCCTTACGTTCGAGTTCCACAAAAAGGCAGTAATAAAAGAACGCACTGGGCCCCCCTCTAACTGTGGCGGTTGGGAGGAAAGTCAGTCTAAGCCGAGCCAGAGCTTCTGTGGCCCCATTGGGCGCACAGATGCCAATCAGAACGTCCAGTGCTTGGCGCCGCCCCCAGACCCGCCCACCCGCGCGCGCAGACTGCGGGAGGGGCGGGGCGACGCTGTGGCGGGAGCGCGCCCTTCACAGCCTCCCTGTGGCTCCTCGGCTCCGGCGGCGGTGCCTCCCGCGCGTTCCCCAGCCGCCTCCTAGCGGCGCGGCGCCCTCTCCCAGGTAAGAGCCTCGCGGGCTCCGCGCCGGGGCGGGCTCGGACGCCGGGGCGGGCTTGGACAGGCTGGGGATGGGCCTGCAGGCGGAGGCGCGCAGGCTGCAGGATGAGGTGGGCGCCGGCCGCCCGCGCGTCCCCAGCTGCTGTCCCGGCTGCCGCTGCGACTCCCTCGACATCTGCGGCCCGGCCCCTCGCCTCGAGGCCCAGCCGGGCCGCCCGCCCCTCCTCTCCTGCGCTCCCGAGGCGCGGGTCCCGCCAGCCGCGGCCCGGGAGCGCCCGTGGAGAGCCCTGTCCGCGTGTCCCCTCCGCCCGCCCGCGGTGACAGCCCGCGCCCCATTGTCCCGCAGCCCGGCTCCTGGAGAAGTTCGCGGTGGTCTGTGGCCCCGGTTATTTTTAGCGGGCGGAGCCGGGGAGCTGCGGGCTGGGAGCAGACCCTGACTCGGAGCCGCACCTCGGGAGGGAGGCCGTGGTGGTTGGGCGCTGCTGCTGCTCGCCGAGCCGCCCGGGCCGGGCCGGGCTGGGCCGCTCCACAGGGTGAGCGAGGGGTGGGTGCCCCGGGCTGCCCTTGGAGTGACTTGATGTGTGGTATTTTGATTTTGGAGTTTGTGGTTTGCTTCCCCCCACGTTTCTAAAGGTTTCTTTGCTCTTTTACCTTCCCCTGAGACTGGCCGTAGACTTAGTTACTGTTGGATCTCGTCGTTAGGTATGTTTGTGGAAGCTGTGTTTTCAACAACCGGTCATTTTTTTTCCCTCCTCACAGCATTTTAATATTGGAAGGAAAATTCTGAGAATTTGGAGGCTACGCTGTTTAGGAAAGAGCTGTAAAATACCATAACAGCCGAACATCCTAACCTGAGCCGGGTTTGGTGGCGAACACTTATAATCCCAGCCCTCGGGAGGCCGAGGCAGGAAGATTACCAGGAGTTTGAGGCAGGTCTAGTGAGACTCTGTCACAAAGAAACAAAACAAAAAGTAAAAGTCCCAGCTTGTGTTGGGAGAAGGAAATGGGCATGCCTTGCCCTTTATGGTAGCTCAACCTCCAGATTCGAGAGCAGAAGGCTCAGAAATGCTGGGCAGAAGGAGCTTCAGCTGTAAGTAGGACTAGGACCGAGGCGGGCCTGGGGGAAGACTGCCCTGAGCTCGTCAGCAAATCTGGCGTGGCTCGGTGGGGACACTTGCCCAGTCAGACCTCCAAAGTAAAGTTTTTTGAGTTCAAATTAGCATTGGATAAGTTCGCCCTAAAAATAAAGAATGTGGCCTGAGCCCTTTTAAAATCCCAAAACCTTTTTGTCTAGTCCATTTCAGAATTGTAAGAAACTTGTAATGAAATAAAAGCATCACTAGACTGAACCACAGAGTCTCAGTGGTGGTGTGTTAAAAATGAGAAGTCAGGCACGGCAGTGCACACCTGTAATCCCTACACTCCAGAGGCTGAGGCAGGAGGATCATTGTGTTCAGGGCCAGCCTGGGCTACATAGTGAGTTTAAGACTAGTCTCAGCTACATAGCAAGGCCCTGGCATAAAAAAGCAAAAACGATCAGAAAATAGTTAAAAGTACTTATATATTATCTCATTTAACCCTAATTCTATGACCACTTACTGTTGTGTTTTGTATGAGTTAACCAAGATTCAGTTAACTCATTTGTTCCTGATTTCAGTGTTAAATATTTGGTGGATTCACATCCAACCAGTTGGATTTCAGAGCCTGCATTCTACCCCATTATGCTTTACTATCACAGTAAATTTTGCTTCTTAGAGACTTGGTCGGAAGAGACTCCATAGGAAAACAATGCTGCAGAACCATAAACTGAATCCAATATCATACTAATTCAATGACACTTTCAGATCATTTTATAACAGGCAGTGTTGAGTGTCACAGAGGATGTAGGGATGGAGTCACCTCTCCTGTTTTTGAGATTAATTTTGGTGCCAGAGATAGACATTTGAACAAATGATAATACAGTATACACCAGAAGAGAGAACTGTAGGAGTCTGGTTTCATGGAAAGATAATTTAAGGTAAACCGCAGTAAATTTGTTTGGCTTTTTAGTCAGGGTCTCCTGTGCAGCTCAGGCTGGCTCGGCTATCCTCCTGCCTCATCCTCCCTGGGGCAGGATTACAAGTGTGCACCTTTGAAGTATTTTCCTCTTCACTAAACAGATAAGGGAATGGAGCTAAAGTGTTTAGCACCTGGCATAGGCTGTCACACCCTGCTAGATTAGAATACCTGCTGGGCTTTGTGACTGAACAAGGTCAGATGCTAAGTCTTTCAATATCAGTTTCCTGATCTGGTTAGTGGAGAGGCTGAAACTTCAAAGGAGACACATATCTGTAATCCCAGCCCTAGGGAGGCTGAGGCCAGAGGATCACAGTGAGTTGGAGTCCAGCCTGGGCTACATAGTGAGTTCAAACCCAGCCTGAGGAAAAGCAAAACGAAGGGTATTTTTGAAGACTGTCTTTAAATAAATGGCATATATAAAAGTGGCCAGGCAAAGTGAGTAGTGCCCAATTTTGATGGTTAGAAATTGCATAAATACTAAAATTACGGAAGCAGATTGTCTATTGGTACATTTTAATTTAATATTTACTTTTCAATACTTATTTTCCAAGTGCCAATTAAATCTCTTGTTTGCACAGTCCAGCTAAGCAACCAACTCTACATTGCCCTGAGATATTCCATCCTAAGCTGTAAAGGAAGACTAGGAAAGCACTGCCAGACCATTTGCGCTTGATTTGTGGGACATACTTTAGGACTGTTTCTGAAAAAATCTCAGCGTGACTGTTGTCATCCTTAACTTCTAGAATCAACATCACAAGCTCTCCTTTGCGTGTACGGTGACCATCTTTTCTTAACCCCAGGTGGAATGAAGCAGATGTTTAAAATTAGGGCTGCCCTTGAAAAATCTGAGAAATAAGTTCATGTTCTTTTATATCTTCCTCTCAGTTTAGCATGCAGCCATATGTAGAATGTATAGGTGTGAATCCTTGATGACCAGAATCATATGATTTTGAAAATATTAAGTGACATTTAGGACAGCTGCATGTTTTGTTCAGCTTGTTGGCCTAATACAATTGCTAAAGTGACACAGTATAGGGGTGAATTTTCAGATGAGAGCAACTGCCTGCTTCCTAGAACAAAAAGGTTTTGAGCACTAGGAAAGAAAGACTGCTGGATTTCATTCTGAGTAGTGAGTTGGAACTGGGCAGGAAATGGCTGTGGTTGAAGTACTACCTGATAATAATCATAACATGATTAAACTTGACATTTAATGTGAGGAAGTTGAAAAACGCAGTGTGTAGCCTTCCAGTTACAGAAACAGTGGGGTGAAGGGGCTGTTAAAAGTTTATAGAAATTTCAAAGATGTGGTAGGTACTGATATTTGTTGCATGAATAATACTACTTTAGTAAAATATTCACTACAGGGTCTGTTACAGATAGCAAAAAAATGAATGAAACTACAAGGCGCAAGTTTCAGAGTTCTATAGAGCCAGGTTCAAGTCCCAGTTGTGCCATCTGCGTTATGTTGCTCAGGCTCCTGCCTCCCCCTCTAGGAGTGCTGGGATGGCGGATGTGTGGTGGGTACCCTTCCTGGTTTGTAGGAAGGATCTGACCTACAATTTTTTTTCTTAGTAGATAAATAAAGGTTTATTTGGCTCATTCTTTAAATTAGCATTGGGTATATCTTTGAAGGGATTTTTCATCCAATTTGTTAGAGGCACTGGCATAAAATTGTTTATAATATCATTATCGTTTTAATGTCTGTAAGATCTATAGTTATGTTCCCTACTCATTTCTGACTGGAAATTTGTGTCTTTTCTGTTGTTTTTCTTCTGTTCAGTCTGGCTAGAGTTTACTCTGTTTTTGATTTTAAAGAACCAGCTTTTGATTTTCTGTACTGTTTCTCTAATTTCTATTTTGATTACCTCTTTTTCTATTGTTTACATTTTATTTGACCTTGATTTACTAGTATTTTAAGGTGGAAACTTAGATCATTAATTTGAAACCTTTATTCTCCTTTAAGGTTAGTATTTTTTTTTTTTTTTTTTGGTACGGGGGATCGAACTCAGGACCTTGTGTTTGTGAGACAGGTGGAGGAACCACTGAGTAAGATTAGTATTTAATGCTATAAAATTCCTTTAAATAGCTGGGTATGGTGGCACATGCCTGTAGTCCCAGCACTTGAGAGGCTGAGGCAGGAGCATTGCCGTGAGTTTGAGATCAGCCTGGGCTGCATAGTGAAACTCTCAAATAAAACCCCAGAAAAACAAAAACCCAAAATTCCCTTAAATAATATTTTGAATGCATTCCACAAATTCTGAAATGTTTTCATTTTCATTCAGATTCACTTGAATTTAGCCAGAAGGCTGAGAAATGATACAAGTTCAACATCTTTGGTTTTTTCCTTTGTGATTTCTTTGACTCCTTTGGTTAATTGGAATATATGTTTCTAATACTTGGGGATTTTTTCAGTTACCGATTTCTAATTTAATTTCACTGTAGTCAAAAACTATACAGTGTATCAGTTGAATCATTTTAAATGATTTGTGGTCCTGAATGTGCTCTGTGCTTTTAAAAATAATCCATGTGCACTGGAAAGAATGCTGAGTGTGGTATTCTATAAATAGCAGTCAGGTCAAGTTGGTAGATCACATAGTTCAAGTCTTACATATCGTTGCTATTTTCTGTCCACTTGTTCCATCAGTTTTTGAGAGAAGGGTATTAAAATCTATAATTGTGAACTTGCTGGCTTT